GTTTTATTTTTTTCTCTTTGGTTCAAACTTTTACTTAATTCAGTGTGTGCAACAACACAAAAACATTGTTTTATTCAGGTTAGAATGTAAATATCTTTCTTCCTCTTGTTCTTTCAGAAGCCCAATTTGGAGCAGTTCAAGTAACCACATTAAATTAACCTCATTTTATATAATGTTATCTGTATGTATGTTTATAAGACTATTTGGTACTGAATAACCAATTGGTGTTCTTATATAAACTGAGTATGTTTTGTTCATATGTGTGTGTGTGTGTGTGTGTGTGTATGTGATTATATATATAATTATGAAAAAGAGGTCATGAATTTGAAAGAGGTAAGTATGATTATATGGTAGGACTTGAAGGAGCAAAAGTGAAGAGGAAATTGATATTATTCCTCCAAAAGTAAGATAAATAACTGAGAATAAAACTAGCTCAAAGTTACCATACTCTTATTCTCCTGTACAAGTGTCTTACTTAGATTCTCAGTCTTAGGATGTTCCTGGCCTGATAATATTTGGAGTACAACTGATTTCACATACTAGAATATTAAATCCAATTCAAGAAGTAGAGTAGATAGTGTACTTTCATGGAAATTTTATGGGTTAATTAAGAAACCACAGGGACTCTTATTCATATCATCCTCAATGTTAAAAACAAATTACCAATTATGAAAGAAAGTAAGTGGAAGTTTTTTGTTGAAAGCAAGGAATCTCAGTTGTATTGCTGTTCTTAAAAAGGACCCTAAGCCACATATGAATGTCACTTATTCATGTAAACACTGGGCTGGCATAAGCACTGGGCTGACATGAGTTTTCTAAGTTCAAGAGTATCATATCTTCAAAGCAATAGTTCTTACGATAAACACTATCACAGTGCATTTACGAGTGTTATGTGGATATATGTACATACATCTATATTTCTAAATATAACCTTCTGAGTCTATATAATGTTACTTGTGAATATGTTATGAGGGCTAATCATTTGATATTGGATAGACAATTGGTGTATTTTTCCTGGGATAAACAAGTGCTGTCTAGTTACTTTCTTTACTTTTTTTTTAAATTAATTATTTTATTTATTTACATCCTAAATGTTGCCTGCCCTCAGTCCCCATTCTCAGGGCTCTTCACTCCATTCCCCTCTCCTTCACTTCGGAGAGGGTGCCAGAGACCTGGAAAAAGAGAGGAATCCAGTACTCAATCAGGATGGATGACCTTAGACAAAATGCTCAACTGTGAAGAAATGGAACCTGAAGAGCCCACCTCCAGTAGTTAGACAGGACTCACAGCAGAGGGATGGAGACACCAACTCACCTTCAGATTTTTGACCCAGAATTGTTCCTGTCTAGTTACTTCATTTTAAATGAAGAGAAACCTAGTTTGCTTTAAGTGCGAATTTAAATGGGTTGCAAAGGGAAGCAGCTTTGGAATTCCAGCCTTCTATCTTATCTCAGTGCTGTCATTGGCTCAGATAAATCAGGAAGATTAAGCTGATTAAAAATCTGCTTATAGAAAATTGTCCAATTCAATGATTTAATACATGATTTTATATTATCTACTCGTAAATTGTGAGACTTATTTTACATTAATTACACTTTCAATTTAAAGGTTTTTACTGGAAATTGTATAAACTCTTTTCAAGATGTATAAAATTTAAACATTTTGTCCCTTGGGGTACATTTAGTATTTTAATTCCCTGTATGTGACAATCTGACACTCTATAAATTTTAATTTCATACAACATAATTGATCCACAGAGAGACATTTGCTGTGAATTTTAGGCTTGTCTGAAGTACAGAGTGAGACTTTGTCTCAACACACACACACTTGCGCGCGTGCACACACACACACACACTGAAAGAGAGAGAGAGAGACACACAAACACACACACACACACACACACACACAGAGAGAGAGAGAGAGAGAGAGAGAGAGAGAGAGAGATGTTTCTTGATGCTGATAATGTAATCCTGAAAATGTCTTTGTTTTAAGAAAATATGTATTTACACATACTTTAAATTTAATAATCATTTTATTTGTTTACATTTCAAATGTTAGCCTCCTTCCTGGTCTCTGTTCCATGAAACCCCTCCCATACACCCTCCCACCCCATACACCTCTCCTTTGTCTCTATGATGGTACACTCCCACCCACCCATCCACCTCTAGCCTCACCACTTTATCATCCCCGTCCTCTGGAGTATCAAGCTTTTACAGCAACAAGCATCTCCCCTCCCACTGGTGACAGATAAGGTGGAAGTCTGTTACATATGTAGCAAGAGCCATGGACCAGCTCATGTGTACTCTTTGGTTGGTGGTTTTAAACTCTGGGAGCTCTGAGGGCTACAGTTAGTTGATATTATTGTTCTTCCTGTGGGGTTGCAATCCCTTTAAGCACCTTCATTTATTATATACAGCTTATAAATATATGCATATATACATTTATAATATGTAAATAATATATTTACATTAACGACCAAAAAGAAAATGTGTAGCATCATTCAGACAAAAATGATATGAAAAGCCAACATTTTCTCTTAAACCAACTAAGAGAAATATTACAATGTAAGAACAAACTTCATAATATTAATTTCTAGTCTTGTATTTCATAAAATAAGCTCAAATTAAATTAATATAGGGATTTCAGTCAAATATCTTTAGATAGCCTTCCTCCTTTACTATGTTGTCTATTCTTCACAATTTAATTGTTTTGTTACTTTATTTCTTAAAAATCAAATGCAATGCAATTTTGACAGCTTACCTTTCATTATTTAATCAAAAATTATCAACTTGCTCATTACACTAGTTGTTGATATTGTAGTTTTATTCACATAAATACAAATATCCCTGTTCCCTTTCCCGTCTAATGACAAAGACTTCTGTTAATCAAACAACTAACGTGGTACGCAGTTGTTTAGAAATAAGCTGTTCAAAATTGAATCTAAGCTAGCCTCACTCACACTTAGTCTATAAGTACTGAAGCATTGCTTTCAGAAATGTTCTGTGCCATGGTGAAAACCCTTACATTCCAGTGTCTTTGATACAGGGAGGTACTCTGCACATTGTTCAAAGAAGAACATAACCACCATGCTAACCACAAAACCTTTATCTACAATAGTGTACTACCATCAAGGTATGCTAGGATACTGGTCGCACAAAGCTTGTAGGAGTAATCAGCTAATAATTGATTTGATTTGAGGTCTACACCATGATATGGAAACCCTACCCAACACTACCTGGTTGATGAAGAACCTGAGAGTAGATAGCCAAGGGACTTCAGGTAAGACCAGATCCTACTGCTCTGAACAATGTACCAGTGTGCATGGGGTCTTGACATGTATATACTAGGTCCTCTGCACTTACATTTTGTCTTCCAGTTTAATGGTTTTACTCATCTTCCTTGTATAAGTAGGTGGTATCTGAATCGTGTACCTTTTCTTGAGCTCTTTTCATTCTGTTGATTTGTCTCATTCAAGTTCAATGTGATGGTTTTTGTTTTAGCTTATTATAATTTTGTTTTATTTTTAAAAGATGAATGAATGAATGAATGAATGAATGAATGAATGAAAACCTAGCTCCAAGGGTAAAGATTAACAACAGGACTGTCATTTGTAGCTGCTGGAAGAGGGAAATATCAGTTGTTTTCAATGGAATGGCATTGAATATAACAACCACTCCAGGGCAGGCCTCACTTTCAGGAGTTGTTGACCAATTGACATATAATGGACTCCACAGTTGGCTTTCCCAGTCTCTTAGCTTTGGGTGGTTTTGTTGTATTGGCTTTGTTTGGTTTCAGAGAAAGTACTTGAAGTTGAGTAGGGGCAGGGGCAGGAGGAGGAGCAGATCTGGAAGGACTTGAGGAAGGAAATAAATATGATCAAAATATGTTTAAATTTAAAAAATGTTTTAAATAAAAGCATAATGAAATCATAGCTTAATGTAGTTTGTTTTTCTACACTAATAAAAGTTTAATATGGCAGTCACTTCCGTGAAATCACTGGGCACAGGAATTCAAGATAGCAACTTTAAACATGACTGTAAAGACTAGAGAGTGTGATGAGTTTTGTACAGATAAGAGCAGACTAACCTTTGCTAACTGTATGGACTACAATGGAAATTACTGAAAGACACATACAGAAGAGCAATGCTTGTCTGGTCCGTTCTGCAGGCTTTCATTTCTTAAAGCATGCATTAATGAGAGATGTATATTATATTATTATTATGGTAATTGAAATTTAACTCTTGGAATATGTAACCTGAACCATAGTAACACCTTATATTTCTTCTACATTTTAGACATACAATTATATTTTATGAAATGACAATTTACACATTTTATTTTATGTAGACTGGACTAATCTCAAACCCACTATATAGCCAAGGATGAACCCTTGCAGTCCTTATTCACCTGCTGACAACTCTCAAATATTGGAATTACAGGTCAGTTGCACCATATATGGTACAAACCATTCACGGGATTAAAGGTAGGGCACTTCATGCTAGAAAACATGCTACCCACTGAGTTATAACAGAAATAAAATACGTACTTGGAAAATTATCTTGATAAGAGTTTCTTTTACAAACTAAAGTCTCATCACTATAGAAGAAAAGAAAAGCAGATTTGTGGAGAAAATTGGGAAATGGTCTGCTGCAATGAAAGTCAATGTAGCATCTTACTGGAATAGTATTGAAATGCTCTGAACTCACTCATTTGGTTATTTAATAAATATTTTGTAGATTATTCACTGTGTGGTAGGCATTGGGTTAACTGAGATATATGGCAGATAAAATATAATTTGAACTTTAAAAAAAGATTTGAAAATATAAAACAGATTGCTTTTCCTTAATTAAATATTTAATATTTAAATATATAGTTTAAATATTACTTTAAATTTTTCAGCTCCTTTCAGTTTTTATAGAGGATTATTGGTTTTCTAGCTTGAACACAGTTCAATTCTTATGAAGAAGTTAGTTGATGATATGAGAGAGAAAACTACATACCTTCTCTTGATACTGCCTCCTTGAAGAATCCAAAGACTGGATCAAAGCTGTGGCATGGCCGACAAACATTGCATAGCAGGTGGCCCCAACAATCATGCTCAGCATGGTGATCCAGAGGTCTGACATGCTGACTGGGGCTTGGGCGCCATAGCCAATACACAGCATGTGACTCATGGCTTTGAAGAGTGCGTAGGAATATTGTTTTCCCCACGAATCATTCTGAAACATGAGAGAAGAGAAAATTAACTAAGATATTAAGATAATAAAAGTCAAAATAAGAAAAACTTATCTGGAGAATCAGTGGAAGGAAACAGGTATGGAAAATAAAAATTAGCATAACTTCTTAGAGGATACTAACCAAATAACCCAATGATGCTCAAATATGGTTTATTAAGATAAAACAGAAAGAACACCATTTTTTGTTCATGTGTGCCTAATCAATTTTAAGTTTGCTGTCTTTGAAAGTAAAATCCCAATCAGGGATACTGTACAAGTATCATCACCATAACACTGTTAAGAATAAATGTGGAGTCTCACTGAATGTTTCAAGGGAATCATAATTCTCTAGCAAACGTGTTTGTAAGCTGAGAAATGTAGCAGGTGGGTCCAAGATGTAGCAAATCAATCCCAAGATAAGAATGTAGTCAATACAATATAGCTCGAGTTTTATGAATGCAACTTGATATTTATACAGTCTTTAATATGTTATGTTTTATTAATGAAAAGCAACACTGCTTGGAAAACATAGTTATGTCTTGTTAGACATTCTAAATATCCTCAAAGCTGTCTTATATTAATTATGATGTATAAACTTCGGATGTCATTTCAAAAGTTTATTCCAGTCTCAGTTTTACAGGATAGAACTTGTCAAATAAGTTTTCTCTAGACAAAAATTTAAGCACCTTATCTGTCTGTTTCGTTGTTCTGAGATTGGGGTCTTGAGATATGACATGCTGTTTAGGAGTACAAATATGTGTCACCATGCACATCTTAAATTCAAATGCCTCTCAAAGTTTGTCCACCTCCCTTGATCATGGCTTACATTAATTATGAGACAGATATAAAATCAAAATGGTGAGTCATTAACTAAAACCCAAAAGACAAATGCTAAAGATAGAAAAAATATGAAGACTTTTCTTTACACTATTTTATTACTAATAAAATGAGGTAGTAGTAACAGATGAATAACTAAAAACTTTGTAAAATATAAAATGATATTTGGTGTCACAGTGATATAAATACATTGAATAAGTTTACATTAATCTTCATTGACTAATTTTCAGTGCTCTTCTGCAAAGCCTTTTCTTAGGCTCGCACAATGTATACAATTTTTAACTCTACTGTGAAGGATAATATTTGTAGTGATATCAATTGCTCTTGACTAATGCAATATCTCAAATACATTTTGATATTTTATTAAATTTTTTGCTTGATATAACTGTGCCTATAGCTATTAAAATGTTTCATAGGCTGTGAGAACATTAGGATGGATTTTTAATACATCAGTTTACAAGGTAAATTTCAAGTTGTTGGTTGTTGTTTTGTCCTATTGACAGTGTCCTTTGCCTTACAGAAACTTTGCAATTTTATGAAGTCCCATTTGTTAATTCTTGATCTTAGAGCATAAGCCATTGGTGTTCTGTTCAGGAACTTTTCCCTTGTGCCCAAGTATTCGAGGTTCTTCCCCACCTACTCTTCTATTAGTTTCAGTGTATCTGGTTTTATGTGGAGGTCCTTTATTCACTTAAACTTGAGCTTTGTGCAAGGAGATAAGAATGGATCAATTTGCATTCTTCTACATGCTGTCCTCCAGTTCTACTCCAGGGATCGTGTCTATTCCTTTTACAGTGGATTTAATGCTAATCTATGAAATGGCATTTTGATACTCCCTCTGGCATTTCCTGTAACGAATCAAGACTATGCCAGAGGTACTTATTTTTTTAACAATTATAAACATCTATTCATTCATCCTATAGATATATAAAAACTATCTTATAGCACTGCCATGGAACATAGGTGAAAATTTCAGTATTGGTGCAGAATCTGTAGGGATGGAACCCCAGAATTATGGGTAAGCAGGCATCTAACCATGAGTCCTGTTTTAAAGACACCTTTAGCTTTCCTGGCTGCTATCACCTTTGTTTATGCTGAAGCATTTCCTCTACTAACCTAGCCCCATATATGGATTCGTCATGAAGGAGACACAGAAGATGTCTCATTATTGATTTATATCTATATGTACCCTACTATCCCACCAATTGACAGGCATTTGAATGGCTTCCCACATACAGTGTGTGTATGTGTGTGTGTGTATTTGTGTGTACTGTTGTCACTGTACACACTAACTCCATTGTATATGTTTCCAGTAGATTTTACTGAAAGTATAAAAATGTCTAACAGGAAATTATTGAGAATGTTAAGATGACAGCAATACACTACATTAACAAATTTCAAGTATTTTTGAGAGTGTGATTGTATTTTCAAACTCTCATGATCTGAACATTATTCTAGTGCAAATAAATCTTGTGTAAATGACTTCTAAAAGTCTATTTAAAAATACAATGAACAAATATATAATATGGCCTTTTCATTGATTTTATCAAATCTATGGTTTTGGTTATTTTTTTAAATAGGATGTGATGAAATTAAAAAAAAAGACACACCCAAGAGCATTGGAACACAAAATGCTTGCTTTCAAAATAAGCAGCCACAATTAGCAGAAAGAGGATTTTTAATGAGGCTTGATCCTTACTGATGAAGTAAAGACATTCTCTGACATTACTTTGTTTAACCCAGAGATTCCAAAGGTACAAGTATACACATTTAATAGTTAGCAGCTCAGGTGATTATAAAACAAGATACTCATACATTTATTTGCTAGGTTATCCTGTTCTGATAGTATAATGGACCCACATAAAATTTTTACTTTGTACCTGATTTCAAGAAAATGTCAAGGTTTTCAAATTGTTCATATTTCATGAGCAAGAGACACTTAGATATTCCAGGAACAAGAAGCACATATTCAAAGAACAAGAGAGTATATTCTATGAAAGTCTTGAACATGCTCATTCTTTTAAAATAAATTATATTCATGAAATTCTAGTCATACTAACAGACCAAAAATCAGTTCATTATAAACCATACTACCAAAGGCTTTTAGCTATATGTTTTATTCAAAATAGCATTCTTCTGTTTTATAAGGCCTTAAGCCTTACATTTGCATATAACTTCAATCATGAACCTGTAATATGACAAGGTATTGACCACCTCATGTGCCTGAATCTGTGCAATACGAGGGCTGGATCCATATCTTGGGGCTTTTGTAACAGTGTACTTTTAAAAACTGTATGATTCATTGGTGTAGTTGTTGAATGAGATCGAAAATAAATAAATTTTGGATATGACTATTAAATGTCAAGCAAACAATGCTACTTTTTCCACATGGTTCCTTGACATATTAAGATGGAAGGGGGATAATTAAAATGTCTAAGGAAGTTCCTAGTCAAAAGGCATTTTTTATTTGCCAGTCAGGTTTTTTCTCTGTGCTCTTGATTGTACTGGACCAGGATGACATATGGAAAGCCTCCTGGCCAACCTCCTGAGTTCTGGAATTAAAGGTATGCACCACCAGGCAAGACTGAAAAGGGACTTCAATTCTATTCCTATCATTTATTTCTCAGATTTCAGAGGTGGCAGTACAGAATACTGGAACACTAGAAAGGAAAATCTGAATCTTTCTCTTCTTCACTTTTTATTTTAATTTTAATTTTATTTCATTTCATTTCATTTTATTGACATGGATCTCTTTTTTGTAGCCCTGGCAATTCTGAAATTCACTGTGTAGACCACGCTGGTCTCAAACTCATAGAGATCCATCTGTCTCTATCTCTCGAATGCTAGGACAGTAAGCCAAGTGCCACCACACAGTTCTAAAGCCTTTTCCTTAGGGTAACATGTTAAGATAGTAGCCAAACTCGCCTGTGTAAAGGTATCTTTACCCATTTATTTTCTCAGCAAACAACAACATATATACATATACAAACATACACATGCAAGTGCATAGAATTAACTGTATATCCTATGAAGTTTCTTACTTATTAAGTCACAGACAACTTTTCTACTCATTACATTTTCTACATATCTTCTTCTAGTTTTCTTCACTTATATTTCCCAGAAAATCAGTTATGCACCTCTCTGTACATTTTCCACATTCATGCAAACACACACACACACACACACACACACACACACACACACACAGAGGTGCATGTGCATATGCCAGGAATTCTATACAAAAATAGATGACAGACACATATATCCCTAGGTACTAGTTGGATGACACAAAACTCCTCTCCTATTATCTGTGATATATATATATATATATGCTTTCAATTTGATTTTTCAATTTTTTATCATAATGATCAAAAATAGCAACTTTGTTGCAAAACAATACATAGAAGTACACAATGGAACTTGTTAATTTAGTTGCATTTCCGTGACTATGTATGCTTAGAAGGTATTTGTACATTTACCAATTGCCCATTAGCTTCAATGACATTCTTGTTTTATCTTTATTATGTCAGAAACTTTTCTGATGATTTTTGTCTAAACTGAGAGAAATGTTGCAGTGTTTCTGGGACTGCAAAGTAATATGGTCATTATGGAAAACAGTATAAAGATTTCTCTAAATGTTAACACTAGAACTGTCATATGATCTATATGTTTCACTACTGGATGTACATTAAAGACAATACATTCAGCATGAAGAGTGTTTATACTTTCTGCTCATTGTGGCAGTATTCACAGTTGCCACACAATAAACAGAACTGCAATGTCCATCTCATGATGCATAAAGAAAGTATAGGAGAAATAAATATATTATTCACCAATAAAATCCTGATACTTGTGAAAACAATAATAGTGATTGGAATACATAGTAAATGAAATAAACCAAACAGAGAAAGAAAAACATTACATAATCTCACTCATGAATAAGATCTAAAAGCGCTGCTTTTACAGATGTCGAGAGTTGCATGGTGTTAAAATGTCTCAGTACGTAGGCTCAGATGGAAGGTGATTGGCAAGTAGTATATTATTATTAGATAGAAGCAAGGGGCTGTGGTGTGCTCGTATACAATTAGAGGACAATGCACTGTACATTATGAGAAGCTAGAAAGGATTTTGAGTATTTTTAATTGTAAAATGTGCTTGTGAAGAGT